GCTGGCCACGGCTCCTACCACGTGTGCTCCTGGCACTGCGTGGGGTGTTTGGCAGCGGCTGGGAGCAGAGCGAGGCAGGGACAGGGACTGCGGAGCTGTCTGGGCTTTGCTCTGGCAGGCTCGCTGAGCAGAGCAGCCCCCTCTGGTCCCTTCCCGAGCCGGGCAGGGCTGGCAGGTCAGGCTCCAAGAGGCACATTGCGTAAGTGGCTGACTCACACAGCCCGAGGAGATCCAGCCCACTGCGAGCACCGAGCATCCTGAAAATAACGGGGCTGAGGAAAAAGAGAGATTCTTTTCAGAACTAGCAACATTTGCAGTGTCCTTATGAGCCAGACATTTATTTCAACCATCCTGAAGGCTAAACACAGGTCAGTGTGTGGTAGCTAATTCATTTCACAAGTGCTGAAGGGAAGAATTCATGCCTTGCACTCCTCAAACAGGATCTCTTCTGTGGCATTTATTAAATTCTATCACATGAGGGCATGAGTGTTACTTCTGTTTTGCAGATTGTTATGGAACACACGTTATCAGAGTAGCCCAGAGTAACTGAACAAACCAGTGGCCCTGAGAATCATCTCTCCTGGTGTTCATTCTGCCTTACTTTGACATCCTACCATCTACTCTGAAGTCAGTTCTCTTTTGACCCAGAGCAATGGCATCAGCAAATTTAAGAGCATATACACCAATTAACAAAGAAAATACATTAGAAACATAGCTACTCCTTCAACAATACAAGGTTAGAATACTAGAGTCCTGCTCTTTCTTCCTCATGGTCAGTGTCCTAGTGATGTCCCCACACTTCTACTAGTGTGGAGTAGGTGTGAAACACCAGCACCCTCACTGGGTGCCACGTTAGATCACGAGGGGCAACGTGTTGGTGTAAGAGAGCCCAGCCCTGTCACAGCTCAGACCTTTGAGCACTCTGTTAAACAGAAAATCACTTGCAGAAGTTGACTTTAGGAAGCCTGGTGTGTTCCATCATAGTATTGCTTCAGGTTTCAGAAGACAGAGGTTACAGTTCATTAAAGAGCATGGCAAAAATCCCAGCAACATAACCAAAATTCCAAGCCTGATGGAATTTTGGTTATTCCAGATTTTACTTTTGGAGTTTCCAAGCCAGGACTCTTCACTAGCTGCTTCCTGCAGCTAGCTGGGCATGGGACAGATACAACTCATGTCACTTCAGGCACTCCTGCCCCATGTGGAAAAGAGAACTCTGAAATCTGAATAGGATCGCTGAAAAATTTCCTCGAAACGCCTCTTGCCATTCAGCGAGCTGACCACTAGCTGTCCCCATTGCCTCACAGGAGGAGAGAACACAGACACTACTCAAATTTTGATCTGGGAAAACCTGCCACAGAGAGGCCATCAGGTGAGGGTGGTTTAGGCTCATCTCAAAACCATAAAGTTCTTTCCTCTCTTGAGAATTCAGGACAATGTCTCATTTGCCTTCATCTTCTGTGAGCCCAGAACACAAAACCGTCACAATATCTGTTAGATCTTGAAGATTTTGGACTGGGTCTCTGCAGAAATCAACCTAGAGAAATCTCATTTCATATTGGTAAAAGGTTGGGATTTATTATCCCATAATAGATGCTATTAAGAAGGCAGAATAATATTTTTACAAAGCAATTAATTCCATCATAATTGCTTTTTTAGCCTTATGCTGCTGCTCCCAAAAGAATGATGAAAGACTGTTAGTAAAACATGCGTTATGAATTTGGATGCTGTTTATTGTTTTTCAGTTCAGCCTTTGTAAATCAGACCCATTATCTGCTCTGGAATATCTGCTCATAAAAACCAAAGCCATTTCCAGCACACCCCTCCAGCCAGTGCAACTGGTGACCTCTCACAGAAGGGCAGTTGTCACCCAGTTCAGCTCTTCAGATCAGAATCTCCCCTTTTTCTTTGCTACATCACAGTCAGGCAGAGACAAGTAGGGTAGTAAAGGTTGAAATTACTGTATCCTGTAGTTATAAGGAAAACACACCCATGAGAGACAGATTCCTGCCTTGTTACCCCAAGCTTCTGCTCTGGAGGGACCTCTCTTCTACTGGGCCACTACCATTCCTGCATGTCAAAGCAGAATGCTTCAAACCAAAATGTTTGCAGAGAGCTTTCCTCAAAACAGCCAAATGAAATGCAGAATTGTCAGTGAAGGATTATTAATAAGGTTATTATTATAAATTATGTAAGTAGTAAGATGTGAGTTCTTAATTTCACCAAGTTAGAAAGGAGGAGTTTGGAATTCCAAATATTTTAGCAATTTTATTTAAAATAGGCTAAAATCTTGAACCAAAACTTCTTTCACTTTGAGATCTACAATTTAGTTCCAAATTCTGAACTTTGTTGGCTGTAGTACCAGCATACACAAAAGCCCTGGGCATCCCACATGCCACTAGCTACCTACCCAATGCCTGTGTGAAGTGGGAAATTTTTCACCTATGAATGCACTGAATTTGTGCATTCTGACAGACTTTAAGCTTTATTCACCAAAATAAGTAGCTCCTAATACTGTACACATGCAGTGCTGTGTACAAACAAGTTGCAGATGTACCCACTGAATTCTTTTCCCTAGAAGGATGTACAAAGACAACAACAAATCCTGAACATTGTATGAAGAGGACACCTGCTACTAATACAGACTCTTGCTAACAAGTAGGAAAGGCAACTCAAACCCAAATCCTTTTGTGCTTTGTGTTTGAGAACCATATAAACATGAACACAGTCTGGCTGTCTCCAGCATTCCTGAGCACGGGCAGATCAGGATCCAAACCGTGCAGCACCACCCAGCCCCTCTGCAGGGGTTTGTGCTGCTGGTGTGTTAGGCAGCTGAGGCCTGCAGGAAAAGTTGTGTCAAGTGAGCATCATTAGAACATTTTTCCTGAGAGCTGGAGGGCTACAGCTAATGCTTCTGTAAATGAGCAAATGCTGCTTCTTCCTCTGCCTGATTTATTGGTACACCTGCATCCAGGAGAGGTACAGAGGTGCCTAAAAGGATGAGCCTTCAACAGTTTGGAAGAGGAGGAAAGGAAATTGAAATCAAGTTACAACAAAAAAGTTGTAAAGACTCTTTCTGTGCAACTATTTCAATACAGTCTGAACTTGAGAGCTGCCAAGCAAGCACACTGTTCTAAATGACTGAGAAAGGGAGTGAAAGACTCTAGTTTAACAAACAAAATAGAAAGGTATCTACAGATCATGCTACATTTAAATCCCACTTCACTGGTAACTCCAGACACAGGCTGCACAGAGACACTCAATTCATAATTACACCACTGTGGTTTATTTTGCTGACAGGAGAGAATGAAGCTGCTCAGATACATGACATGCTGATTACTGACTTTCCTAGACTTGAGGAGTCTACAGCAGCAGCTATTCTTGGGCATTTTGAATGGCCAGCTCTCACAGATGTGTAAATTGCAACTGAAGAAGCTCACATATGCAAGCAGGAGTTTCTGCCAACTTTCCCCCACCTAATAATCTTTAAAATACCTTTCAACAGCTATGCTGGCAAAGCATCATCCTCCAAAAACTCTCAGGAAACCAGAAGTAAAACAACACCATTTTTACCCAAGTTCACAGTAGGAAGATCCTACCAAATGCACAGAGAAGGTACCCTGAGCTTCTCCACCTAGCCTTGAGTCAAAAAAGGGTTTTCCACAGCTACAGCTACCACCCCTCCTGTGAAGAGAGCCTAAGGCCACCACTCTCTCACAAAAGGCAGCCACTGGTGTTGTCAGGTGTGATTCTTTCCTCCTGAAAGCCACAGGAGGAACCTGTAAGTTTAAATGGTGTTAAAGTGCAAAAGACTCTCAAAGAAAAAATACACCTCTGAACAAAGAAAAAACTCATTATACTTTGCACCTGTTTAAGGAACAAAATTCCTTTTAACAAGTTGGTTCATTAATAAAGGTGCAATTGAGTATCACATCATTAAAGGAACAGGAATAAAAACAGAGCAAATTCTCATTAAGAGACAGTGCTAAGGTATCTATCTCATTAAAAAAAAAAAGAGATCCACACTTTCTCTCCTTGCTCCTGTTTATGGATAATCTCATAGGAATTTGTTACTTACATGCATAGGATTGCTCCTGAAAGTTGGGAAACTTCTTTTTTTTGAGTTAAAAAGCCATGATTTTTTCTTATAGTCCTAAGAAAAGGTGTTACTTATTGTGAACAAGCACAGCGAGGAGGACTGAAAACCCTTTAGGGGAACCACCACTCATTTCAATATCACAAACAAGACATGAGCACATGGAAAGTGACAAATTTTGCATTCTCTCCATAACAGATTCGCTTTCTGTTAACATTGTAAGTTAGAAAAGAGAAACTTCAATCACCGTGGCAAGCAGCCAGCTCATGAATAGGCTTCCTAACATCAACAAGACTATTGGTATGAACAAATGCTCAAAACGACTACGAGACTTCTTGTATAGCCTTTGTAATGTTAAAATCAGCCACATTACTGTGGTTTCCAAGTGCTCTCCCACGTGGACTAGGAGCTGAAGCCAAGAGTGCTCATGTAAGAAACTATGTAAGAGCTGCAGTTACAGACTGAACTGGTGCTTTGCTTTCAGATTAAAACAATAATATAGCACATTCTAACAAAAAAAAATAAAACCCAGCCTACAACTAGCAGATCCCAGGCTTTAACTATCTAGAACCTACTGGCTGAAGTTAGATTCTGACATGATAGCTCCAGAAAAATGCTGCTTCTAGTGCCTGAACAGCTCTTGGTTAACTGTGTATGCAACTCTGCTTCCAGACCATGAGATTTCAAACCACACTCAAAAAGTATAGAATGGGGATGGTGATACGTGAGGGTTGGGTGAGAAAGGAAGCACCAGAGCTAGCAGCAAGGTGGGGTTGCCTGCATGGGCAGCCCTTCATTTGAATGCAAATGTAATTTTGGGGCAGGCAGTTATCTGTGACATCAGGCAGGACCTTAGTAAACTGTTACCACCAGCACCTGGTAAAACCATTGTTAATCATGTGTAGTAAAGGGACATCAGGGCTAGCCTGAGTCATTTATAGAGCCAGGCAGGGCTAGAAAAGAGAGAGAAAGAAAGAGGAGGGGAAGAGAGATCAAACAAACCCTGCAAGGAGCAGGATGTCCCAGCAAGACAAAGCCAGGCTGTGAGCATCATGTACGTGAGTTACCTTTTGGATAAAGAAACCAGCATGTATCCAGGATCTGCAAGGTGCAGCAGCAACAACCTGCCGGTGCAAAACTTTGTGTCTGCTCCACCCTACTCGGACTACATGGGATACCACCCCGTGCCAAGCCTGGAGAGCCAGGGGCCGCCCGCGGGGACCTGGGGGTCTCCCTACGGCCCCCCGCGGGAGGACTGGAGCGCGTACGGCCCAGGACCTTCCAGCACGGTGGCTGCTGCTCAGCTCAACGGCTCCTCGCCCGGACAGGTCTACAGCCCCCTCCATCCCGCTGGAGCTGGGGGGTTACCTCCTGCAGACACAATTAATGCACAGCAAATCTCTCCCAACAGCCAAAGGCACAGCTCTTACGAATGGATGAGGAAAACGGTGCAATCCACCTCCACAGGTAGGAGGGCACTTTGTGCTGAGAAGAGAGTTTACTGGGTTTTATGTGCTTGCAGTTTTAGGCCAGGTTCCCTGTTTAGAGGCAAGTGTACAGTTGAAAAATGAAAGATCCTAAATGCTCTGAAGGATTCTCTTGCTAACAGTGAAGCACTGTTTTGATTATTGGATGATGGTTTTGATGGGCTGTTTCTTACATTTCTTGCTTGACCTTTCATGCTGAGGAAAATGAAGAGCAGTGTCCTTTGGCACTGAAGTATTTTCACTTCAGATATGTTAAAAAAATTATTATATCAAATAATTGCTTTTAATAGGTGTCCTATAGCTTGTAATGAAGCAGTAGGTCTGCAGAATGAAATCATGATGAAAATATTGTATTTCACCACCACCTGTACTTTATTTTCTGCACGTTTTGGAGGACATATGAAAAGTTCAAGATACACAGTAAGGGGGTTGGAAATAAGGCTTTGCATTAGAAACAACCTCTCTAAACTCAGAACACTGAAAAGAAATGGGATTAGTCAAACTGAGTCAATGCTCTAACTCCAGAAATAAGGGAAGACTTGCTTCACTTTGCAGTAGTAGCTCTCAGAATGTGCAGGAATATGAGGGTGCACAGTAGCACAAGCAGTTAATGCAGCCACAGATCAGTCTCTGATGCATAATAGTGAGTACAAAACAACTCTTCAATTGTATTTAACCCGTAAAAATAAGTCATGAACCATGAGGAAAAGGTTCTGTTTGGTTGTGATGAGGAATAATAGGAAAAATATAAATACTGAGCAGCCCTAAACCAAAAATCTGTACCTTGTGTGAGTAGAAAAAGAAATATGAAACAACAAAGGGGAGAAGGAAACAAAAAGAGGGAAAACTGCCTGAAAGGAACAGAGGCACAATCCACTACAGAGCAGCATTTGATCCTCTGAGGTGCTGAGCAGCTTTGCCATGCCCTGAGATCAGCAGAAATTAAGGCTGCTCACTCCTTCCCCTAAAAAGATGCTCACACTGCTCCAATGTTACATCCCAGGAAGGCTCCTTTCCTTTCAGTCCTTCCTCCTGCCCCAGCTCCACACATGCCTGTAAATACTTTCCAAAACAAGTACTGAATTTGGCTCTGATTAACAAGCAATTACTTACAACATACTTTAGAAAAATGAAAGCCACTATATATAAAAAATATTGTCTGTATTAAAATAAAGTACCTAATTTATATGGACAGTGCCTGTAATACTTTCCAAAACAAGTACTGAATTGGGCTCTGATTAACAAGCATGAAAGCCACTATATATAAAAAATATTGTCTGTATTAAAATAAAGTACCTAATTTATATGGACAGCTAGTCATCCTCACTCCTGCTGAGCACAGAGAGTGTCTAGAATTCAACAGGGCGATGAGAGTAGTTTGTTACTCTGGGTAAATAATTTGGCGGGGGGAAATCTGGGGTTTTTAAATCATATTTGTTCTTCACTTAATACTATCCAGCCCTCTCTTATTTTTTCTTGGTCTTGGAAAAACTTACAGCTTACTTTTGAGCAGCCCTTACAAGGGCAATGAAACTGCTCACAAACTGTACATTCTTCACTGAATACTATCCAAGAGAAAATAAAAGAGGGATTGTCTTAGAAAAACTTACAGCTTACTTTTGAGCAGCCCTTACAAGGGCAATGAAACTGCTCACAAACTGTACATTACAGATGGCAGAACACTTGCTCAAACCCCACTACTTCTCATCTCTCCTTTGCCCACGTGCCTTTTGCTCCTAAGGGAAAGACCTGCTTTGATCTGTGCTGCCCCTTTTATAGTGGGAACACTGTGAGACAGACTGACAGACAAATAGATAGGCAGAAAGAACAGACAATACCACATTCTGTCTGCTTAAGAAACATGCTTTCTGATTTCCAAATTTCAAGCCTGCAAGGGTCAGATCACTCACAGAGGGTGCTGGGAGTCTCTCCATATCAGATATCATATCATAACATCTTCATCTCAGGAATTGATCAGTGTCATAGGAGCATATCCTCTCAGATGCCCATAGAGCAGTGTAAGGCCCTCTGAAGTTAGTGGGGCCCTTGCCATCCACTTAAATAGGGACTGGGTTGTGTTTTAGGGAAAAATCCAGAGAAGTAATTCTCCTGCTGCTTCTTCCCCTCTTATTTATTTTGCTAGGCCAGGAATGCTCAGTGCCAATAGACCTGATTTGTTTGAGTTAGTTCCTTTCCTCTTCATTCACTTTTTATCCTCTGTTTAAACTCAAGGGCACTTTCAGTTTTCCCCATTTTCCAAAAATGAATTATTTTTCTTTTTTAAATTTAACTGCAATGTCAGATCTAGCAATGCACTTAAGTGAGTTTGGTTCTGAGCATGCAAGTGTTGCAAGGGACTCCAAATGTGTGAGCAGGCTGAGGGCAAGTGCCAGGGCTGTCTGCTGGATCACAATCAAACCCCTCAGCATTGTCTTCACCCATTGCTTTTTAAAGCTGCACTGAGCATTACCTCTCTGCAAAACGTGCAAGGAATGTTCCTGTCATCTTATGCCTTTAAGATCAGGAGAGATTCCTGCCAAAGGTTTACTTACACTGAGTAGTCTGGCTTGTAACAGCTACAGAAACAGGGCCCAGAATCAATGACATTTCCATCTCCACAGATTTCATGTTCAGCTTGTCTTGTTGGTGCTTTGTGGCTTCATGACCTAAGAGATGACAAAAAAAAAACCCACACTACTGAAATTTCTACCACTGCCTCATGCCCTCCATGTCTTTTGATACAGTGATCTACACAACTAACCTGAAACAAAAGCAGAGATTATTTCAGGTCTTACTCCATCCATTTAAAAACAACACCACCCACTGTAAAACCATGTCTTCAACTCGTGTTAAGTGAATTCTGTGAGGTTATGCTACTTGAAACCACAGGAAGATCTCAGTGTTTAATGTGAGACTATCATCCTGGTTTAGTGTTACTGGACTGCACTTCCTGCAGAAAAGCCCTACCAAGGTTTTCATCCATCACCCTCTCTGGCTGAAGGATGTTTGAATGTCTCTCTCTGCAGCTTTGGCAGTGGTGGGATTGGGATTGAACCTAAATGCAGTGCAGTAGGATCCCATGCCTAGTCACTGCATGCTTGAGGGTGTGCAGGATACAGGAGAAAGCAAGTGTGTTCTGCCTTAGAACACTTGAAGGAGGAAACATTGGCTACTTACTGTTTTCAACTAAGAGCACAGATTGAAAAAGCCCCTTCTCTAACCCTTGTTCTATTCCCATCCCCTCTCCTAAAACTCTGAAAGGGCAAGCAAAGCCCAGATGAGTGAAGGGAACAGAGAAGAGAACAAAGCCACGACAGCTAGAGAGCTGAGGTGGCAATTCTACACACACACAACATAACCACGGGCAAATACTTTGATGGCAAGTAGAATGAAACCACCTCAGCCCAAGTTACAAACCTCCTCTGGAGGTGTATGATCCCTCACAGAGGAGCTGGCTTTATTTTCTGCCTCTGTGAGAAAACAACACACATCTGTAGTAAAACTGTGCCCAGAAGAGTGAGTTTGCAGAGTTAACTGCCAGGCAGTCCCAGCAGCAATGGGAATTTGCTCACAAAGCCGAAAGGGCATCTCCAGATCTGCACTTGCATTACCATGAAATGGGGAGGGAACAAGTTTTGAAACACAGGTAAATAATGATGAGCAGAGACTCTTCCTGTAGATGACAACTCTACTGTCATTCCTGTTCAATAAAAATTTACTCTGAGGACACAAGGACAGGTTTTTTTGTGGTGATAATGATGACAGGTGCTGGCTGCATCATTGCCAAAGGCACTGTACACATACAGCATCTAGTCTTCATAGCCCTCAAACCTGAGGAAGAAAAACAAGCCTCTTCAGAAGCCATTCCTGCAAAGTGCTGAATGGCCAGAAAAAGTACAACACTTGGGGGAAAAAAAACAGCTCATCCCTTGCTTTTTAAATCAATAGAGTCATTGGCACTGGGATTTCCCCTGATCTTGCCACTTAGAAATCCACCCACACTTTCTGCAGGCTGGGTCCTTCTGCCAAACCAAATCCACACAAGTCACCTTTAGTGACTTGTTTAGTTTGGCAGTGTTTAAAATTAGTTTAATTAGTGTTTAAAGGTGATAAAAATGACTCTGCTTTGGATTCAGTTAGTTCTCTATGATGAAGATGAATAGAAAAGTTTAATCTAGCAAAGTGAAGGACAGAAGTTAGCCAATGAGCTTTACTACAGAACAGCAGAACACATGTAAAATGGAAAATATTAACATTTTAAATAGAAGTCAACAGAACAGCTGGGAAAATTGTTCAAGTTTGTTAAAAGGTCCCAATTCATGATCATTTTCTGTTCTTTCCAGTGTGAGCCATCTGAACATGTGTAAGAACAAATGATCAAGGCCTAGGAGAAAATACAAACTTGAAATTTCACCATGTTTCACAAACTTTTACGCATCCAGCTTTGCAATAATGAATAATGACATCCATCTCCAGGACTTATTGCAAATGACTTTTGCTTCACAACTTCAACTAAGTCAGTGAAATCACACTACGGAGAATTTGTCCCTTTCTTTTCCTACGCTTTTAAAGTGCATAAATAGCTAGAGACAGTCCCAGATCAACACTCTGGGGCCTGATCTGTGACAGGCTGTAGCTTTATAAGCTCAAAAACTAACACTAATCTTCTCTTAATACTGAACTAACATAAAGATGCAGAGCTGAACTGAGATCTTCAGGCCAGAAAGCTGTTTCAACCTGACTTAAGCTAACTTCCAGTCATCAAGCACAGGCCTTAACTTCCTCTGAAACAACATTAAACTACAGAATCTGGATTACAATGCTCTGCAAATAATCTAACAGTAATCTGACCATATTCTGTACTATGACACCTTCCAAATTAGGCAGCTCCTGGATTTTATGAATGATGCCAGTTTCAGTAGATGAAGAATACTCCTGAAAAGTTAAGAGAGGAGGCAGTGAAAAAGGAGCAAGGGCTAGTTCTAATGCTAATTTATTTTGCTTTGTAAACTAGTTGTGAGGTCCGATGGTGGTTTGTTGTTTTTTTGGTTGGGTGGGTTTTTTTTTTCCTTTCCTGGGCTACATTGTCTGAGGTTTTGAGGCCTATCTGTCATATTGAGGCAACAGACCCTTTTAACACTTCACTTTGCTTTGATATGCAGTCTTGTCTCTTCCTTCTCCCTCTTTTCTTCAGGAGTTATATTGCCGGAAAGGGTGATGATTTTCACAGCAAATAAAGAGGCCTTCTCCCAGCTTTATTGTCTTCAGAAGAAATACCTTGTGAATTTTATGACCAATAGGAAAGCTGTTCCCTTCCCCCAACGCAAAACTTGGCTAGTTACAAATATTGCTGGAGTGGTTGTGATAGGACAGGATCGTTTAAGTGTATCTCAGGAACAGTTTTCTGAGTCTGCAATGTCTTATTTCTTGGTGCTCTAAAGCCACTCTTCAATAGTCACTCTGCAAAACAGGCTTTTGACAAAGCTGGCTGTTCCTAGACAGCTCATTAAAACCAGGAAATCCACTCCCCCAACACAAAGGCAGTCGTACTGCAAAGGTAGTTGCTTCAAAGCTCTTTTGTTTCATTTTCCTTCCACCCAGCTACTAACGACCTCTCCAACCACTGGCAATTCCACAGCAGAACTGTCTGTGATAGGACACATTTCCAATAAACTGACACTACACTGCTGATTAACAGGATCATCTGTCACTAACAGAAGATTAATTAAGATTGTAGAAAGCTAAATGTTGATAATTTCACTCACCTGAGTAAAATAGGGAGGATTTGACTAAAGAATTGCATTAAAATATTTACTTTTATCACTGCATGATAACTTTCTGCCATTACGTCCTGAAGAAGTCTGAGCAGAGAAGAAAATCTTTCTGCTGTCTCTGGGGTGAATCCGTTAGTCCTCCCTCAAATTTTACTCAGGGTATACTCCCTGAAATAAAATGCACCACTGAATAAAACCAGTAGAAGGCTCAGACTGCAGCAGAGTGGATCTACTCCATCTACCAGATGGAAGTTAGAGGCTAAACTCCCAAACTGTTTAGCGATAGGGTTTGTTGCTGCTGTTTGTTAACTTTGGCAAATAAAAGTGTACTTTGCCTTTGAAAGGAAATGCCATAGGCAGACTAATTCCAACCCAGCATCCAACAAAGGCCTTAGGAAGACTCTCACTGACATCAGTGAGAGGCTGGGTAAAGGCCCAACACTAAAACTCGACTGCCAGGACTAGAAGTGTCCTCCCAGAAGACTCTGGCAGGTCTCATTGTCTGGTGTCTCTCACAGAGAGCATTACAGACACACAAAATAATCAAATTATTAAAGATGAGAGTTATGTGACAGATCACAGAGAATTTTTCTCAGATTGTTGGTGACTTTTAGGAAGGAAATGTTCTCCTTTTGCTTTTCTACTTTTTTAATTATTCTCTTAACTTACTTTAAAGAAAGAAATGAGATGTGAAAACTTCCAATCTCCCTTCAAAAAGAAACCAGATATTATCAATCCTACTAAAAATAAACTGAAAGCTACTCATGCAAAACCAAAAGTTTTTAGGGGAGAAAGTTCTGTTTTCCACATACAGTTTAAAGAGCAAAACACACAGCCCTCTCCTAATCAGATAATAAGGGTTTAAGCACTAAAAACCAGAAACAGGAAGGTTTATCTTGAAGTTTACCACATTGTTTTGGCAACAGAAGAACATTTGATATTTGTCCATGGCTTCTGAATGAGAATAGAGCTCCAGATAAGATCACCTTGTTGCTCTTTTGTGTACTCCATCTTAACACCACAAAGGAGCCTAAGGAAACATTTTAAACATTTTGTCCCATAGAATGACCCCAAACCACCGGCTGGAGAGATCAAAAGTTTAAAAATATCCAGCGAGGCATTAAAGCACCACAGGTGACCATATGTTAAACAAACAATTTACACTTGGAATGAATGCAAACAAATGTCCTAGCATCTCTGTGGACTGAACTGAAGAACTGCTGTTCTTGAGACACTCTAAAATTCGTACCATAATGTTGTAAAATTAACAGCACTTTTCACTTGATTATCACTGTAAACCTAATTGGGCTAATCCTGCTTTCACTACAGTTTTGCAAGGACAGAAAGGTCAGTGAAATGAGAAGTCCTACACAGCCACCACCCCTGCCAAGCACAGCACAGCAGAACCCTCACAGGGCAGCTAACAGAGCTGAGACAAAGCTGGCTTGGCTGGAGGGATTGGGTAGGAACCCCAACATAAGGAACACACACACACACCCCTCCTTTCCCTAGTGAAATTTTCCAAGTAAACAGGCCGATGGCCTCAAGACAGTTGGAAAATGCCACTATAAACTCCTCCTTCCTGCATAGTGCTTTCCCAGCGTTGAACACCACAGAGCATGGAAGCTGAAGGATCAGACTGAGGTAGACCTTGCTCTACAAGCCTGGAAGAGTCCTAGAGAACCCCTGTCG